AGCGATCGCAGTTTGAGTATAGTTCTGTGTAAATGCATAGATAAACCGCGCTGTCAGCAGACATTTCATAATCTAGAATGACAAAAACATATTAGTAATTCTGATATAACATTCCAGTTGAGAAATGCAATAAAATACGATGTTTTGTTTGTTATATTCCAGAGAATATTATTCAGTGAATTAACAATATCCAGTGAATTATTCTTCACTCTTCTACTGTTGATGCTTTTTATAAATAAAATGTTTTTTATGTTGTAATATGAAGATTAAATGTATGTCTCGGAGGACGCACACGTTCACTGATTTGGTCTTAAGTTAGATTGTGAGAAGTGGGATTGAAATCTAAGTTAGTTTGCGAAACACTAATTTACCTGTCTTCGTCAGGGAAAACCGATCTCTAGCATGATTTCCTCACTGCAGAACGGACGTTTAAAGCGTGCTAAAACCTCACAGCAACCTTTGTTGGGAACTGCAGGAGCCATAAAAGACGACTATCAGCATTAGATTACTGTTGATGCTTTTTATAAATAAAATGTTTTTTATGTTGTAATATGAAGATTAAATGTATGATGTCTCAGAGGACGCACACGTTCACTGATTTGGTCTTAAGTTAGATTGTGAGAAACATCCTAAATTGTATTAACATTTACTAAATAACCAATATTTCGCTAATAAACATCTAAATAAATACAACTCTATGGAAATTAATTATTTATTATCTCCCTTCTACATTTATTTTGCTTATTGTTAATATTAGTGTTGTTACTGTTGATGCTTTTTATAAATAAAATGTTTTTTATGTTGTAATATGAAGATTAAATGTATGATGTCTCAGAGGACGCACACGTTCACTGATTTGGTCTTAAGTTAGATTGTGAGAAGTGGGATTGAAATCTAAGTTAGTTTGCGAAACACTAATTTACCTGTCTTCGTCAGGGAAAACCGATCTCTAGCATGATTTCCTCACTGCAGAACGGACGTTTAAAGCGTGCTAAAACCTCACAGCAACCTTTGTTGGGAACTGCAGGAGCCATAAAAGACGACTATCAGCATTAGAAGAGATGTAGCCAATGTTTGATCTGTTGAAAGACTGTCATTATGAGCGTAAGTGATCAAAGTCTGCCCCTACTACTGGAGACTTCAAACGTCAAGCCGGAATGAGATTGAGTTACAGATGTGAGCCCACCTCCTTTCTTTTCCTACATTCACACAAGATCAAAATAAGACACAGCCTCCGAAAAAACTTTTGCAACTTCTTGGCAACATGCAGTAAACAGAAACAAACCCCTAATTTCATACTGCTGATGCTTGCAGAACAATGGCCTCCTTTGCTTTACAGCATCTGAAATCTGATCTTCTCTGACCAGCAGACAGCATGTCCCCATTCATACGAGCAAGGGCAACTAGCTCTCTCTTTTAAAGCAGAGAGGTGACTGCTAAACAGGTATGGGTGTAGCGGGGGGGTCTTATCTTTCTGTTGCCAGCAGCCGTTTTTAGCCTTTGTTCAGCAGGAAAGATGACAGTCAGCGTTTCAGCCCTGCTTCAATTTAAGCTCAGCTGGTGAGCAGAAATCCATAGCAGAGAACAGCACGCAACGTCTGAAACACGGAGCAGAGCACGCCTGACACGAAACTCAAATGATACATTCATTGAATGACAGCGTAGAAACCTTCTGCAGGCGAGGCACTGAGGCAGAGGGATATGTAGTAGTAATAGCAAGGGGGAAAAAACTCCAATACATATATTTTTCAGGATTCTTTGATCAATAAAAAAAACTAAAGAACAGCATTTATTCAAAATAGAAATCTTTTCTAATAATGTAAGTCTTAACTATCACTTTTTATCAATTTAACATCCTTGCTGAATAAAACTATTAATTTCTCTCAAAAAAAGAAAGAAAAGACAATGTACTGACACCAAACCGTTTCCAGTATTGAAGATAAATCAACATTATTATGATTTCTGAAGATCATGTGACACTGAAGACTGGAGTAATGATGCTGAAAATACAGCTTTGATCACAGAAATAAATTACAGTTTAACAGATATTCACATAGAAAACAATTCATTTGAATTGCATAATATTACACAGT